AAGTGCTGCAAAGAAAAACCTAGTTAAACTGCAGCGGCACGTCTTGCTCTTCATTGTAATCAGAAGTCTAATATAAATACTATGTATGCCAGTCTCTCTTCGCTAAGAGTTGAGGAGAGTCTGACTGCATCACTTCTTTTTATAAGAAACATTAATGTGTTAGAAATTTCAAATTGTTTGCATAGTGTGACGACCCTCCCACTCTGTCTGCTGTATTCTCTCTCTTTGCTCTTGTTTCCTTATTAGGATGCCGGAGGGCGGAGTTGCGAGGGTCGTCAGCTACATGGGAAACACCTGGGCCCGGGTGTGTCCCAGGATAAATGGACCTCTTCTACATTCATTGGAGAGACTCTCTCCATGCAGACACCTTGATTGATTTTTGTTGTGGTAGTTTTGTGGTTTTTGGTTGTTTGCTTTGGCACCTTTCAACACCTTGCATTATTACATTGATGCATGCAAAACACTCACTTATACTACTGATTACTGATTACACACACCATTGTTAATTATATTTAGTTTACTTTAGTTAATAAACATATATTTTGGTATTCCTTGTCTCCACGGTGTCTCCCTTTTTGTTACGAATTTTGAGCCGGTTCTTGACAATAGTCAATTTACACACAGCTTTGACACACACACTTACTTCACCAGACTGGCCACCAGGGGTCTTTTCACAGTCCTCAAATCCTGAACAAATTCAAGAAAGCGTACAGTATTATATAGAGCCATTATTGCATGGAACTCCCTTCCATGTCATATTGCTCATATGTGTTTGATGTGATTTTCGATTGCATTTGCATTGATGTCAGAGTGGTTAGAGGGACAATAGAGCACTGAGTACGAGGCCATTAGCGGCCTGATGGTCGATAGAGAGTTGGGTACTACTAACATATGTCCAGAGTGCATAAAATGAGTTTAATGTGACTCATTGGTCACATAGAATGTTACTGCAGTCATGACTCATGACTGCCAGTGTGACAGTAATAATGTCACAGCAACAGCCATAGTCACATAATTAACACACACACACACACACACACACACACACACACAGGTCAGTAACTCCACCACCACCCAAGTCTCTAATAGCTGGTACTTCTCTCACAGCTGGTACCTCGGCCTTCCACATTTCCACCACACACACAGTTTGCACAGACTCACCAATGCCGAGGACGGGTCCAGTCGAGCTCCCAGTTCGTCTGGTGTTGCTCCTGGTGAAGGGTATGTGGTCGTCAATCACATCTGCTTCTCATCTGCATCTGACAATGCTGGCTCGCTGAGTTAGTGGTTAGATGGTCGGGGTGAAGACTACAGAAAGTCGGGTGCAAGGGCTGTGGTTCATCTGGCTACTCATCCTAGGATGCAAGAGGTGGCAAATAGTCCGGGTAGCCATGATTAGCTGTTCAGGAGTCTTATGGCTTGGGGGTAGAAGCTGTTATGAAGCCTTTTGGCGCTCCGGTACCGCTTGCCATGCGGTAGCAGAGAGAACAGTCTATGACCAGGGTGGCTGGAGTCTTTGACAATTTTTAGGGCCTTCCTCTGACACCGCCTGGTATAGAGGCCCTGGATGGCAGGAAGCTTGGCCCCAGTGATGTACTGGGGCGTACGCACCACCCTCTGTAGTGCCTTGCGGTCGGAGGCCGAGCAGTTGCCATACCAGGCGGTGATGCAACCATTCAGGATGCTCTCGATGGTGCAGCTGTAGAACTTTTTGAAGATCTGAGGACCCATGACAAATATTTTCAGTCTCCTGAGGGGGAATAGGCTTTGTCGTGCCCTCTTCACGACTGTCTTGGTGTGTTTGGACCATGATAGTTTTTTGGTGATGTGGACACTAAGGAACACTCAACCTGTTCTACTACAGCCCCATCGATGAGAATGGGGGCATGCTCAGTCCTCTTTTTTTCCCTGTAGTCCACAATCATCTCCTTTGTCTTGATCAAGTTGAGGGAGAGGTTGTTATCCTGGCCCCACACGGCCAGGTCTCTGACCTCCTCCCTATAGGCTGTCTCATCGTTGTCGGTGATCAGGCCTACTACTGTTGTGTCGTCGGCAAACTTAATGATGGTGTTGGAGTCGGGCCTGGCCATGCAGTCATGGGTGAACAGGGAGTACATGAGGGGACTGAGCACGCACCCCTGAGAGACCCCCATGTTGAGGATCAGCGCGGCAGATGTGTTGTTACCTACCCTTACCACCTGAGGGTGGCCCGTCAGGAAGTCCAGGATCCAGTTGCAGAGGGAGGTGTTTAGTCCCAGGGTCCTTAGCTTAGTGATGAACTTTGAGGGCACTATGGTGTTGAACGCTGAGCTGTAGTCAATGAATAGCATTCTCACATAGGTGTTCCTCTTGTCCAGGTGAGAAAGGGCAGTGTGTAGTGCAATAGAGATTGCATCATCTGTTGGAGCGGTATGCAAATTGGAGTGGGTATAGGGTTTCTGGGATAATGGTGTTGATGTGAGCCATGACCAGCCTTTCAAAGCACTTCATGGCTACAGACGTGAGTGCTACGGGTCGGTAGTCATTTAGGCAGGTTATCTTAGTGTTCTTGGACACAGAGGCTATGGTGGTCTGCTTGAAACATGTTGGTATTACAGACTCAGTCAGGGACATGTTGAAAATGTCAGTGAAGACAATTGCCAGTTGGTCAGCGCATGCTCGGAGTACATGTCCTGGTAATCCGTCTGGCCCTGCAGCCTTGTGAATGTTGACCTGCGTAAAAGTCTTACTCACACCGGCTACGGAGAGCGTGATCACATAGTCATCCGGAACAGCTGATGCTCTCATGCATGCTTCAGTGTTGCTTGCCTCGAAGCGAGCATAGAAGTGATTTAGGTTGTCTGGTAGGCTCGTGTCACTGGGCAGCTCACGGTTGTTCTTCCCTTTGTAGCTTGTAATAGTAGTCTGTAATAGTGCGATTCAATCTTAGTCCTGTATTGAGTCTTTGCCTGTTTGATGATTCGTCGGAGGGCATAGCGGGATTTCTTATAAGCGTCCGGGTTAGAGTCCCGCTCCTTGAAAGCGGCAGCTCTACCCTTTAGCTCAGTGCGGATGTTGCCTGTAATCCATGGCTTCTGGTTGGGGTATGTACGTACGGTCACTGTGGGGACGACGTCATCGATGCGCTTATTGATGAAGCTAGCGACTGATGTGGTGTACTCCTCAATGCCATCGGAAGAATCCTGGAACATATTCCAGTCTGTGATAGCAAAACAGTCCTGTAGCTTAGCATCTGCGTCATCTGACCACTTCCTTATTAACCGAGTCACTGGTGCTTCCTGCTTTAGTTTCTGTCATGCACACAATATTCTACAACCTGGGCTTGCCTAGTCTTCCGGGGAAGATTCACATTCTAGTGACTCGTAAAAAATATGTGCAACGGCTGGCAGGTAGTCCAGCATTGTCATCTCTGTATTTTTATTTCTTTACTGGAAGAGGAGGCTCGTAGGCCCTGGGTTAGTGGCTTGTGAATGAGGCTGACCAGGACTTCCGTCCCTCATACTGGCTGTGGCTCTGCAGGTGTGTGTGTTCCAAGGATCATCAGCTGAAATTATAAAGGACGGCAGAAACAATATTTACAATACAATTCTAATTAGTTTTTCAACCAAATGCCCTACCATCACTTTTGGTATAAAGCAGTGCGCTGGGGTTAGGAAACCCCTCTAAAAGACAAACAGACAGCAAGAGAGACAGAAATTGATTTTTTGTAAAGTACCTGAGAGTTTGAGCCACATCTGTGAGGTGATGTGAAGTCCAGAGGTGGCCAGGGCCCCATTGTGAACATATTTCTGCCCAGTGTGAATGCTCTGAAAGCACATACATTAACTTAAGTTAATATGAATAGCAAGAAAATACAGAGGACCCAATGTAGCCAGAAGAGCCACATCCAGCTCACATGTAAGTTATTGGGATCCGAGAGTTTTCTGATCAGCATATTCTGATTTAAGTAAGAAATGTAGACAAAATACATAGCCTAATCATACCTGTAGACGGCTGTTTGTCAGTTGATACACTGACATGAATGCAGACAGTCAGTCTCTGGCCTCCTTGTTGTAAGGTATATTGAAACCTTTGTTTTCTTTTAGGCTGGTCCTGAGACTGCCTTCTTCGCTTCACTTTGTGCTCGATTGTACACACACACGCACGCACACACACACACACACAAACACACACACACAAATCACATGTTGTGGTATATTTTTACTTTGTTCAGAGGACAGGAGAATCATTTAACCTTTAGAGTTTAAAGTTTCTACGAACTTGCCCAGTGCAGTATTTTATAATTAAATGGCCTTGTGTGGAAAGAAAATCCAGAATAGGCCTACTTGATTAGCCAAAATGATGTATTTGTGTAATGACAGTTAGTAATGTATTTTCTATACATTTATTAGTTGCATTGACACAATGTTTTTAGATAATAATAATGTGCCATAGGCTGCATCGCACCCTTATCTGTGCACACTCTCATCTTTAAATAAGCTTAGCTATTGTTAACAGTAAACCCCCTTGGGAAGGACTAATTAGTTATTGACTTCCATTAACACATTGGTGTTACTGTGTTTTTTGGCTACCGTAACCCTAAACATAACATTGCTTGAAACAATGGCATTGCATGTGTTAATTGACATTGCTTAAGTGAATAAGTACAGAGTTCTGGTCATCTAAATCACCTAGAATCATGTGATTCTAACCATTGTAATGTGTTATCTATTCCACTAGATGAGGCCGCTGCGTTACTATTTTCTTCACTTCTATATAAGCTGCTATTTTGTTATCAAAATAACCATGTGGAACTTACTGTAACATGTTTCTCGCATAAACATGTTTATAGATTGATAACAGTACAAGTCAAACTAGGTCAAGTCAAACTCGACCCTATAAGTACTAACTCATAATGTGATGAGACCATTGTGCAATAGTGTGGCTAAAGGTACAAATAAAAGTTGTGTAAGCAGATCTTTGTTGACAGGGTTTACAAGTGAACTCTGTGCTGGGGTCCAGACAGTTTGAGGTCTGGCTGGACTCACTTTGCATACTTGCCAGATCATTCAAACTGCCTGACGATCACTGCACATATTAGGGACCCTCTTTCAGCCCCCATGGCCACTATTATCACAGACTCACAGAAGCCTTTCTCTCTGGACCCCTACCATGTCTCTGAGGAGTTTGGCTTCATCCTCCCTGCACCCCTGGTAGGTACAGCCTCCTTATCTTATGGGATACCCATTGCATTTGTAATCAGCGTCAGTCATTAGTTGGCATTTGTTGAATATCATTACGGCTGTTGCTTATAGTCATTATTTCTTGTTTGTTAAATCAAAGTAAGTGGAAAGTAAGTAGTATTGATATATTTTGATATGTGGTAAGCAGGTTGTAACTTTCTCAGCCTCAGACAGTGACATTAGCTTCCCTGATACCCCCAAATCAAGCTGTGGTTTAGACTGTATTGGTGTTTTTGAATTTGGAGTGCAGAGTGCAGATGAGAGCATTCCAATCCAGGCAAGGTTGATACATGCTACACTTTGTTGTGGCAGAATTGGGGTGAGCTGGTGCCACCTCTCAAGGGTTATGTTATTGTTCTGTGTTGGACTTTGATGTTATGCATTTCATAGACTCCTGTTATGTCTGCACCCTAACACAAGGCCATTGTGTTCTGGAATTGTTACTTGCATAAAATAACTGTTGTGTAACAATATGATTGTATTATCACCTCCCACTATATAAGGGACATGTAATCATTTACTCTTGGAGCTCCTTCCCTGACTGCGATCAGAGACGGATCTACCTTGCAGCTGCTCGTATGCATTAAAATATTCACTATTAAACCATAAAATTAGTCTCTGCCTAATCTTTGGATTGAGTTTTCCACAACAACTTGCAATTGGCATCCTTTGTGTTTGTCCTGTAAGTGAACTTTATCCTTTATCCTTGACAAAGCAACGCATTGATGTCATGATGAAACAGCAAGATTGATTTCTAACTACTGATATGTCCAATGCATCATTTGGAATACATAAAATGTGTGGAATAGATTTCATAAGCTTGTTTGACACTTTCCACAGTTGCTTGTGGTTTAGGCGTACTCTGCATAACCTGAAAGATAACCTATGCAGCACCTGATACGAGACAGAGCATCCAACAAAATGATTCAATGAGGGACAATACATTGACACTTTTCAATATGACTCAATACCCTAAAGACAGAGTTGCTGCCATACTACCAGCCCTGGATGGACATTGCCCAGCATGTTACAGAGCTCATCTACTCTCACACGCTGCGCTCCCACATTCTCAAGGTAAGGCTCTGTCTATGCTGTAAAACTCAGCTGATCAGTAAACAGGGATCAAATAGGGGGGAATGGATTGGAATTCCACCACCTGGTTGAATTCCACCAACTTGGTTTGGAAGACATTATACAGTGAAAATGAAATAGATTTATACGTTCCACAGCTTTTGGTGACAGTTCCACATAAACAATCTAAACTGTTAATAACAATGTGTGACTTCACCTGCGCAGAGAAGACAAAAGATACATCTGATTTGATCATGAAGATAATTATTTTATATTAATTTAATTGATTAATTACATACACATGAAGTGTTCAAATATCAAAACAAGTAAAATGGGTAATTTTCAATGTTTCAAGCATAGTGTATTCATAATTATTAACATTTGTACGTGATAGTGTCAGCTCCATTCTTCCATTTACTCACTCAGATGCCCCTGCTGAACACCCAATTCCTGGAGAGCCACAGAGAACTGCGTCTGGCCCATTTGGCCCTGAGTGTGATGACCATGGGCTACGTTTGGCAGGAGGGGGAGCATGACACAGTCAAGGTTTTTCACCAACCCTTCTTATTATGAATGTTCTGGAGTGTGAAGTGAGACACAGTAATGATGTAACTTTTAGATTGTTTTGGGTAAAGGCTTTCTTCCAGTATCACAGCAGGTGACAAAATAGCTGAACATTTCCTAATACAGTTGTTCTCAATCGCGTACAAAAATGTTTTGAAACTGTGGTTAAATGTACCTATAGCAGAAGAACAACGTTCAAATGCTTAAATACATTTGCAGAATGTCTGATCATGTTCTTGCCTTTGTAGCTGGATTGCATATCTTACACCCACATTCGTAAAACTTTAAATACAATTGTGATCAAAATTCACTGTAAAGTGTTTTGTTCACAGAATATCAACACGTAGCTCCTAGTTGCCAGTGATTTTAATGCAGGAAAACTAAAATCTGTCTTACCTACTTTCTACCAGCATGTCACCTGTGCAACTAGGGACAAAAAACTCTAGATCACCTTTACTCCACACACAGAGACGTACACAAAGCTCTCCCTCGCCCTCCATTTTGCAAATCTGACCATAACTCTATCATCCTGATTCCTGTTTACAAGCAAAAACTCAAACAGGAAGTACCAGTGACGCGCTCCATATGGAAGTTGTCCGATGAAGCGGATGCTAAGCTACAGGACTGTTTTGCTAGCACAGACTGGAATATATTCCGGGATGGCATTGAGGAGTTTACCACATCCGTGTCACTGGCTTCTTTAATAAGTGCATCAACGACGTTGTCCCCACAGTGACCGTACGTACATATCCCAAACATAAGCCATGGATTACCGGCAACATCCTTACTGTGCTAAAGGCTAGAGCTGCCTCTTTCAAGGAGCGGGACACTAATCCGGACGCTTATAAGAAATCCCGCCAAGCCATCCGACGAGCCATCAAACAGGCAAAGCATCAATACAGGACTAAGATCGAATCCTGCTACACCGACTCTGACACTCGTTGGATGTGGCAGGGCCTGCAAACTATCATGGATTACAAAGGGAAACCCAACCGCGAGCTGCCCAGTGACGCGAGCCTACCAGATGAGCTAAATGCCTTCTATGCTTGCTTCGAGGCAAGCAACACTGAACCATGCATGAGAGCACCAGCTGATCCGGATAACTGTGTGATCTAGTTATTTACAGTTCGCAAACAATTCTCATTTTGCTACCTCGAGAGTCATGGTTCGTTTTTATGAGTGACTCATTCATTTTTGTAATTCATTTGACCTGCTAGTGCTGGCCGCAATAAGTCATACAGCAGGATTAATACATGCTCCTCGGGCTCAGCGGCTCCAGAGACAATGTTTAGAACTGATAATTGATTGTATGGTGCAAGAATGAATGCAAAAAATTGATTATTGAATGCTATGATGGACACAGCTTTGTAGAACCAAAACATACACAGCCTCTGCTCAACAGACCCGAACTCGAGAACGAATCGTTTGGGGGACTGCAGTTTGCGAACGACATTGTGCTTATCACCCTCACGGCAGTCAAGCAGTGCATTCCGCCAAGAGTCGTTCACAATTGAGTCCGGTTGCGGCCACAACTAGACCTTGTTTCAAATGTACAGTATCAAGAAATAATCGTATTTGTTTGCCTAGCAATCAACAAATGTACATTGTTTAAAGCACACGTTTACAAGTCTCAGTCACAAATGACAGCTCAAATAAGCTCCCTATGGTGAATGACATGTGAACGAGAGGCTTGAGGAATCTCGACTATTTCGAGTTTTTAGTTCATGGTTCGCCAGGTAGGTGGTCCTGCCTGCTCCCTATGGCGAATGAGATGTGAATGAGAGGCTTGTAAAATCATGACTCTTTTGAGTTTTCAGTTCATCGTTCACCGATAGGGGGTCCTGCTTGCTCTGGGCATTACTGACTCCAATGAACGAAATCAGTCAAAATATTAATTATTTTGACCGAACAAGTCGAAAAGATCTGAGTCAGTAAAAAGAGCTGAACTTCCCATCACTAGTGTGATCACACTCTCCATAGCCGAAGAGTAAGACCTTTAAACAGGTTAACATTCACAAGGCCGCAGGGCCAGTTGGCAAGTGTCTTCACTGACATTTTCAACCTCTCCCTGACCCAGTCTGTAATACCTATATGCTTCAAGCAGACCACCATAGTCCCTGTGCCCAAGAACGCCAAGGTAACCTGTTGAAATGACTATCGCCCCATAGCACTCACATCTGTAGCCGTGAAATGCTTTGTAAGGCCGGTCATGGGATCAGCACCATCATCCCAGACACCCTGGACCCACTCCAACTACAGCTCAGCGTTCAACACCATAGTGCCCTCCAAGCTCATCACTAAGCTAATGACCCCGGGACTGAACACCTCCCTCTGCAACTGGATCTTGACGGGCCTCCCCAGGTTGAGGGTAGGCATCAACATATCCGCCATGCTGACCCTCAACATGGGGGGCCCTCAGGGGTGCGTGCTTAGTCTCCTCCTGTACTTCCTGTTCACCCACGACTGCGTGGCCGCGCACGACTCCAACACCATCATTAAGTCTGCCGACAACACAACGGTGGTAGGCCTGATCACAGACGATGATGAGACAGCCTATAGGGAGGAGGTCAGAGACATGGCAGTGTGGTGCCACGACAACAATCTCTTCCTCAACGTCAGCAAAACAAAAGAGCTGATCGTGGACAACAAGAAACGGAGGGCCGAGCGCACCCCCATTCATATCGAGGGGGCTGTGGTGGAGCAGGTCGAGAGCTTCAAGTTCCTCGGTGTCCACAACACTAAGGACCTATCATGGTCCAAACACACCAACACAGTGGTGAAGAGGGCACTACAACGCCTCTTCCTCCTCAGGAGGCTGAAAAGATTTGGCATGGGCCCTCAGATCCTCAAAAGGTTCTACAGCTGCAGCATTGATGGCATCTTGACCGGCTGCATCCCTGCTTGATATGGCAACTTCTTGGCATCTGACCATAAGGCGCTACAGAGGGTAGTGCCTATGGTCCAGTACTTCACTGGGGCCGAGCTCCCTGCCATGCATTTACAAACTTATGTAAATTAGATATTTCTGTATTTAATTTTCAATACATTTGCAAACATTTCTAAAAACATGTTTTCACGTTGTGTGTAGATAGGTGAGAAAAAATATATTTAATCAATTTTAAATTCAGGCTGTAACACAACAAAATGTAGAATACGTCAAGGGGTATGAATACTTTCTGAAGGCACTGTACATGTACATATTAACACAATTACCTCAACTACCTTGTACCCCTGCACATTGACTCTGTACCGGTACTCCTTGTATATAGCCTCGTTATATTTATTTTATTGTGTTACTATTTCCTGTTTTTTATTTGCTGATTTTTCTTACTTTTTATGTCTGCATTGCTGGGAAAGGGCTCGTAAGTAAATATTTCACAGTCTACACCTGTTGTATTCGACGCATGTGACAAATTCGATTTTATTTGAATAAATCCTGCGCACAATGTGCTTGTTTTCCATTTTCTTCTTGATTAGGAATCCTATTTTATTTAACGTGTATGAAAGTGTTTGGTGAAATATGCATAAGAGGAGAGTAATTACGATAATTCTGCACCTTTTGATAGTTATATTTCAAATTTTGATCATCATGTTTTAATAACTGCAAAGAAAATTTATTGATCTACTGGGATTTTTTAAAGACAGACTAACTTCTGTTTTGTCTGCATAGACTCAAGAGACAAGTATCGTTGCATTAATGTTTTGCAATTTTGACGGTATAATATAGTTTTGATGAATGTATTTATGTTTTTAGAAGATAACTACATTTTGAAAATGCATTTACTGTTTTATAAAAGGCCACAGAGTTCTGTGTCTTGTGGACTCTATTTTGTAAATCAAAAACGCGATTGAGAAAAACTGTAATATCGTCCTACTGTAAATCAAAGGTCAAAATATCCAGCAACTTTGGCACCTTCAGGTTTGAGATATGGAACACCAACAAATCGTTACTGGATCCAAACACATTAGGGACTTACTATATGTACATTGACTTTCTGTAAACATAACCCCAGTCATCATGCAATGCACCGAGAGTATCATCAGGAGAATAATAGCAAGTCCCTCTGATATGAACTCTTATCTCCCATAAGATGCTCCCCCGCAACCTGGCCATTCCATACTGGAAGGTGTCTCAGCGTCTAGGCCTTCCTCCCATCCTTACCCATGCAGACGCAGTACTGGCTAACTGGAAGAAGAGGGATCCACATGGGTAAGATTGGAATACTCAAGAGTCTCCGGAGCTGGTCTCCGGGGCAGCAGGTAGCCTAGCGGTTAGAGAGTTGGGCAAGTAACCGAAAGGTTGCTGGTTTGAATCCCCAAGGTGAAAAACCTGTCAATGTGCCCTTGAGCAAGGCACTTAACCCTAATTGCTACAGTTTCGCGTTGAATGGCGGACCCTGTCCATGACCCCACTCTCCGAGGGTGTCTCAGGGAGAGTGGGATGTGCAAAAAACATATTACGTGTGAAATAGGACAAATACAGCGGGGAGAACAAGTATTTGATACACTGCCGATTTTGCAGGTTTTCCTACTTACAAAGCATGTAGAGGTCTGTCATATATATCACAGGTACACTTCAACTGTGAGAGACGGAATCTAAAACAAAAATCCAGAAAATCACATTGTATGATTTTTAAGTAATTCATTTGCATTTTATTGCATGACATAAGTATTTGATCACCTACCAACCAGTAAGAATTCCGGCTCTCACAGAAATGTTCGTTTTTCTTTAAGAAGCCCTCCTGTTCTCCACTCATTACCTGTATTAACTGCACCTGTTTGAACTCGTTACCTGTATAAAAGACACCTGTCCACACACTCAATTAAACAGACTCCAACCTCTCCACAATGGCCAAGACCAGAGAGCTGTGTAAGGACATCAGGGATAAAATTGTAGACCTGCACAAGGCTGGGATGGGCTACAGGACAATAGGCAAGCAGCTTGGTGAGAAGGCAACAACTGTTGGCGCAATTACTAGAAAATGGAAGAAGTTCAAGATGACGGTCAATCACTCTCGGTCTGAAGCTTCATGCAAGATCTCACCTCGTGGGGCATCAATGATCATGAGGAAGGTGAGGGATCAGCCCAGAACTACATGGCAGGATCTGGTCAATGACCTGAAGAGAGCTGGGACCACAGTCTCAAAGAAAACCATTAGTAACACACTACGCCGTCATGGATTAAAATCCTGCAGCGCACGCAAGGTCCCCCTGCTCAAGCCAGCGCATGTCCAGGCCCGTCTGAAGTTTGCCAATGACCATCTGGATGATCCAGAGGAGGAATGGGAGAAGGTCATGTGGTCTGATGAGACAAAAATAGAGCTTTTTGGTCTAAACTCCACTCGCCGTGTTTGGAGGAAGAAGAAGGATGAGTACAACCCCAAGAACACCATCCCAACCGTGAAGCATGGAGGTGGAAACATCATTCTTTGGGGATGCTTTTCTGCAAAGGGGACAGGACGACTGCACCGTATTGAGGGGAGGATGGATGGGGCCATGTATCGCGAGATCTTGGCCAACAACCTCCTTCCCTCAGTAAGAGCATTGAAGATGGGTCGTGGCTGGGTCTTCCAGCATGACAACGACCCGAAACACACAGCCAGGGCAACTAAGGAGTGGCTCCGTAAGAAGCATCTCAAGGTCCTGGAGTGGCCTAGCCAGTCTCCAGACCTGAACCCAATAGAAAATCTTTGGAGGGAGCTGAAACTCCGTATTGCCAAACGACAGCCCCAAAACCTGAAGGATCTGGAGAAGGTCTGTATGGAGGAGTGGGCCAAAATCCCTGCTGCAGTGTGTGCAAACCTGGTCAAGACCTACAGGAAACATATGATCTCTGTAATTGCAAACAAAGGTTTCTGTACCAAATATGAAGTTCTGCTTTTCTGATGTATCAAATACTTATGTCATGCAATAAAATGCAAATTAATTACTTAAAAATCATACAATGTGATTTTCTGGATTTTTGTTTTACATTCCGTCTCTCACAGTTGAAGTGTACCTATGATAAAAATGTCAGACCTCTACATGCTTTGTAAGTAGGAAAACCTGTAAAATCGGCAGTGTATCAAATACTTGTTCTCCCCACTGTATAAGCACCCACCAAATGATTCTGTTATACTATTCTATTTTTGTCTCTCAGTGATATTTAAGGGAAGTGTGTTTCTTTTTCATGTCACCTCCTCATCTCCCATACCAGACTGTTTGACATGGAGTAAGTATTGCCTTGAATAATTGATTACAACCAGCTGTATTTGTAGATTCCACACATTCCAATAGTCTTTGCTCGTTAGCTCTCGCTGACATTTGAAATCATACTATTGCAATCTAAAAATCTCCAGAAATGTTTGCAGGAACGTTGACTTCTTCTACCAGCTGTCATTGTGGCCATGGTGATAGTTATTGTTTTCATCGCTCTCCCAGGAACTTGGAGCTGCTTGTCACTCTGCCTGGTGGGGACAGTGTGAGGGGGTTCTTCATGGTCACTCTATTGGTGGAGCTGGCTGCGGTGCCAGCCATCAAGGTGAAGGCCTCTTCTGAAACACACAGAGCTGTAAAATGAGATGCCCAATTGGTCACACGCAATGGTGTTGTATTATGTAGTTTGCTTTATGATGCTTTGTTCAAATTGATGTTCATTTCTGTGTTTCTGAGTGACATTCTGATTGTTAATGTGGGTGTGTTTCAGAGTATTCCTCTGGTTATTAATGGTGTCCAGTGTGGTGATGCTGAGACTGTGACAAGAGCACTAGAGGAAATCAGCCAGGCCATGGAGGGCATGACAGATGCACTCAAACTGATGCATGGTACTACAACTGAAACAGATGTTTTACTGCGTTGATATTCAGTCCAGTTCACCTGCATTCTCAGCATATAGATGTCTCTTATGTTGTTCCAGCATATGTCGAGCCAGAAGTATTCTATGGCATTATAAGGATCTATCTGTCTGGGTAAGTACTGAACACCCCTAGTAGGCCTAGACAATACAAAAAATTAGTTTATTTGTCTGACAAAAGTGAATGACACATATCATATACATATAATATATGATTGTATTCATAATGTATGGCTGTATGTGTGTGGATCAGGTGGAAAGATAACTCATCCATGCCGGCTGGGTTGGTGTATGAGGGCATCCAGGCAGAGCCTATGGAGTATTCTGGTGGGAGTGCTGCCCAGAGCAGTCTGCTACACTGCTTTGATGAGCTGCTAGGAGTCAAACATGAGGAAAAGAGTGGTAAGAAAGCAAAGGTAGACAGGTCCAGAGGAGTCAATATTACCACACAATAATTAATCAATGTTTTGCAGAGATATGTATGGCTGTGTTAACAAGTACATCTTAACAGGTGTTTTCTTTGGCAATAAGGAAATGTTCACTTAAAACCACAAAGAGTTAGGACGGTGGAGTCGTGTTATACAGATGTGGCTGCACGTCTACAACATAATGGCATGGCATTGTATTTACATAGACATATTTTTTTTACACAAAGGTCTCCTAAAGATGTTATTTCCACTGAGGGTGAATATGCTATCTACTTGTACAGGTGCCTTTCTGACCCGTATGAGAAACTACATGCCCCCTTCCCACAAGCATCTGATCCAGGACATATCTCTGCAGCCCTCCCTGAGAGGCTTTGTCCAGCAGCAGGCCAGTGAGCTGCTGACCAAAGCGTTTCAGCTCTGTGTGACCAAGCTAATGGCCCTCCGCAGCTACCACATCAACGTGGTCAGCCGCTTCATCACTGTGCCCGCTGCCCGTGCCCGCCAGCTCCGAAGTCAGGGCAACAGTTCCCAGGAGGAGACTGTCAGCAGGGCGCCCACGGCTCTGGAGGAGACGGGCACCGGCGGCTCGGGCATCATGAGCTTCCTAAAGACTGTGAGGGACCGCACACGGGACGTCTCCCTGCCTCTGGACAACAAGGCCTTGCAGATGAGCCCAAACGGAGCACAACCTCAAAACACACATCACGCAACTCAACAAACACATCTGCAATCTAACACACTTTAGAGACACTTTTATACATCTGTTTAATAAATTAATGAAATGACTGGAAATTATGAGAGGTTTGTGCATGACTTGTTGCTCTATCAAGGTTTGATGTCTGACTAAACGAGTCCTGGTGTTATTGACATGGTCTGTATAAAAGATGCCATTCTTTCAGTCCAAACCTTAATTTAAACCATCAGTGTTCGTTTCCAATAAATGCAACCACTAATCTCTTTATTCAATCTAAAATAGAATGTTAAATATGCATCGGATGACTAGTCCAGACTGTGCTCATACCACAACCCCAACTCCTGGATGGCATTTGGTCATAGTCAGAAAACTCGCACTGATCCCCAGGGCAGTTTAACCCTCGGATGCATAGTAAACATGACGCCCCAAGAATGCATATGCCAGGTCAAAATGACCCGATAATGTAATATCTGTGTTTTATTTATATGGGACTAAAATGTTATCAATTTTGTGGAACATAATTATTTTGAGTGATGATTTGGACCTTTCAATAATTATTTTATTGTTTTAAATGTTTTTAGTCTCTCTTCAACAGTTTGATACACATTTCAATGATAACGTATTATGAAAATTCGGAACGGCTATTGAAAATATTAGCATATTTGTCTTACAATCAATCTTACAATCAAAGTTTCACATTCAACATTTAAGTGTGAAGAACAAAATAAAACCACCTTAAGCATATTTTACAAAATTTCAAAACATTTATTTGAATATCCAAAGTTCATCATCAATATAAACGACAACACTAACAATTGGGAATTTAGAAAACATAAACACTAAAAGGAACAAAGTGTGTGTGCGTGTGTGCATGTCATGCTTACTTAGGCTGTCTTAGTCCATGCATTTGTTACAAACCACAAGCATGTGACTGTGCTCTTTGCAGACGGGTGTGTTGCACTGAGAACACCAGCAGCTGACCTTTCTATCCTTTGTGCTTGGGCAGAGCTGGCACCTCTTCCTCTTCTGGCCCTGGCTGCTCTGAGTGGTGGTGGCATGGCACGCTTTCATCACCCCACCTTTCCATTGCCTCAGTTATTCTGTGGGGATGGGAGAACCTTCCAGAAGACAACCATCTCTGCAGCACTCCAACAATCAGGCCTTTATGGTAGAGTGGCCAGATGGAAGCCACTCCTCAGTAAAAGGCACATGACAGCCCGCTTGGAGTTTGCCAAAAGGCACCTAAAGGACTCTCAAACCATGAGAAACAAGATTCTCTGCTCTGATGAAACCAAGATTGAACTCTTTGGCCGGAATGCCAAGTGTCACGTCTGGAGGAAACCTGCTCATCTACTGTGACGCAGTCACTGGGGATGAACCTTCCTCTACAGTTTGCTAGGAAAAGGTCCCACACATACCGGAAGGCTGCCAGGTGGTCCGTTGCCTCTCTGAACACTCTGGTCCTATTGTCATCAAGCCTCAGGTAGCGACGGATATCCTCATATCTTCCGACCGACATGGTGGATTTATACATTGGATTCTGCAGTGGATCCAAAAATAGCTCCCGTGTGGAGACAGACCAGCTTTTCTTCACGCCAGCGAGGAGGGTTAAACCAATATAGGCCTTTAGTTCCTCTTTGTTGACCTCTCTTCACTCTTTCCCTTTTGCTGTCGCTGTTCTCCGTCCTTCTTAATTTGTACACTTTAGGACCTCCTCAATGATGTTGTCACTAATGAACAGCTCCCAGGCATCTTTTGGTGGCACAACTGTTGACCCCGGCACAGGCCCTGGGCAGCTCCTCAGGATGTTATGGCTTCTGGTCCTGCCTTTAGTGGGGGGGAGGATGTTCACTCCAGTAAGACCCGTTTTCACTCTCCTCAGAGGAGTCCTCCCCATCTGTAGAATCATCGAGGACAGCTGGACTACCAGGTGCATCCACAACTCCAACTTGACCCACAGGCACACAGTCTGTGTCATCTGAATTGGATACCTCAGATTATGAGTCAGAGGCACCAATGGCTTCCTCATCCAGCATCTGTAAAACCATTTTGGTTGTATATCTGGCAACATTCTTATGAGCCTCCTTATGAAATTCCTTTTACTCAATGAGTTAAAAAGGAGAAATGAAAACGGTGATTAATTAACATTACAAACAAGATATTTAATAAATACTTGGTTAATTACATTGATTTTATTGTTGTAGCAAAAAGAAAGGTCCGTTTGACGAGTGCAATGCAGTGAATTCCATATGACATACATACGGGTCATATTTGACCCACATATGAAAACTTGGGGTAACGATGCATAAACTCTTTTTACTTAAGAAATAAGAAATTAAACAACAAAACTAGGATGTTGGAACATTAAAGACACATTATTTAAGGAATTCCTGGAATATTAGATGACACTTTGGGGGGGATCAATACAGCAAAAAAATCAGACTGAGGAAAGTTTTGAAAGTTTAGCTTATCATGACCTGAGATCCAGACAGTTGATACGTACAACCAGGGTCATCACATACAGTATAGTCAGGGTTTTTCTGATGGCAGTTGTATGTTTGTTGTTGAATTAGTTGTAAACCTACTTCTGTATTTTATTCGATTGCTACATGTCCTGTCTGGAAGTTTTTGCTAAAGAAGTAATTGAAGGTCCCTGCAGTTCATCATCATGATGACTAATATAAACAAGTTACAATACAACCTCCACTGTCAGCAAAGAGCAGGTGTCCCATAAAAAGTTGCAGTGCCCACAGACACCAGAGTAGGGCACTGACTCGTACAGCATGGCTCACAGAGACAGAGAGAGAGACACCACTTGCCATTTACATTTTACATAATAGGTAACTGAGGAAATGGACAGTCCACACCTTCCATTATCTGCCACATGGTCCCGGTGAGGCACGTGTGCTCCTGATACATTTACTGGTTTATGTTTTCATCTCATGTTAAAGAGGTATTAGAATAATGGGATGGAACGTGCCCACCTAAGTTCAAGTAAAAAAGGAATGTAAAAACAGGCTTATTCTTAAAATGTCTGTAGTCATCGTGTATACAATGTAGGTCCAAGTAGGCCACTGGCCTTTTTAGCACAGTGGATATAAACTGCCATTTTCAGTCTTCTATATAAAGGTGTGCTATCTCCATCAGAGAGTTATTCAGAGCACAATGCACAATGCAGTGCATTGAAGCTCCATCAGTTATCAGAGAGATTTCTTCACTCCTACAGACCAGCGTTTCTCCTGCCCACGTACACCCCCTACATGCCCTAGCTATCACTTCCTGGAGTGATAGAGCATGGAAAACCCAGAGAAATAAAGAGCTTGATTGTGCCATGAATGGCCTGTGTGCTGTATCATCTTCACCTTTCCTGGCTCGCCTCCATTGGCGTTTCATTACAATAACAGACTTGCGCCATCAGATAAGACTGGTGATGTGTGGCAATCTGCCATGGAAATCCAATTCCACAAACCTGACCGATCTATCTTACCCCCTCTCTTCTCCCTCATACTGAATAGGGAGGACATGCAAAAACAAGAGATTGTCATTGTGAGGAAATTGATCTCAGCCGTCTGTCCCAAAAAGCCATGATTTTAGAGGCTTTATTCTAACTATTTCTTTTTCACTAAACAAGCAAACAGAGAAGGAGAGAACTCCCGTACTTACTCATGCAGACCTCTTTTACATCTGAGAAACGGAGTGTAAAACATGACAGGGAGGCAGACGAGGGAGGGATAGGAGAGTAGAGAATAAGAAGGGAGGGAGAGCGCTGGGTGGTGAAAAGGACAAACACTGCACTAACATGTCGCAGTGATCTGATTCTAGAGCCCTCTTCTGCAGCCAAAGAAAATAATCCCCTTCCTTATTACCTCAGAGCAGAGGAGTCCCTGACAACCCGCCAGTAAACACTGGCCATCGCTAAGGATGTGTTCATTGTGTGATTGGGTCTATTTGGCCTGTCTGCCATGTGGGAGAGGGTTCAGAGGATCTTACAACAGTGGCTGTTTTCGGGGGACGTGACACACAAACACACAAAAACATACACACACCCTTCATTCTTTCCTACATTGTTCATTGAAAGTGAGTCCATTGTATTGACTGTGATGTCATACATGCTATAAAACATTTGTAATCACAATGATAAAAAACTTAAATGGTGAAACCACATTTTAAACTTTTAACCTATGGCCATGGAAGTCAACCTAGGACTGGGGGCTTCACTGGTTTCTCTCCTCATTCTGTATTGTTGCTACAAATCCCTTTAACAGTAGTCTTTCCTCCATAAGATAATATAAAATTAGTAAAAACTGCAAGACAGTGAATACTGTATTGCACCTCCATTAACAAAACCAGGAAACTTTCGTAATCTGTTTTATTACAAACAAGAAGACAAAAATGCTTTCACAATTCACCTTCAGAGTTTTTCCCAGTCATTATAAAATGAGCCATCCTGGGAAGGGAGAAGAATACATGGCATTCAAGGCGCCTCCCCTCACAGGGTAAGTAGGAGCCTGAGCACGTCAGGGCCTTTTGTCTGAAAGGTTAACAGAGCCACGACCAGAGTGACGACCAGAGTGACGACCAGAGTGACGAGCATAGTGGCTCACACTGACACCACTAGTGACTCACTGGCCAGGTGTGGAATAAAGACAGTACCAATATTCTCACACACGCGTACAGTTATGAACACACACACACACACACCAGTAGCCTAGCGCAGTTTCATATATCATGCTATTTTACAAATTTTGCCATGAGGCTGGGATTTTTTTTTGCTGTTTTATAGTTCAGGTATTCTTGAAAGACAGGACAATCTAACCTGTTTTTCCTACAAATATTTGTCTTAATATTAATTTTGGATTTTAGACTAATCTGACGGCGTTGACCAAATCTCCGGACACATCTTTTAGGAATCACAGTTTTGAGAGAAATATTATTTAAAGTCACAGAGGACTATTGCAAGAAAGTACATTTCAGTTAATATCCATTATTGACATAGATTTGTTTTAGCAAATTTTTTTGATAGTTTGAAATTGGGAACATTTGCTCCGGACAAGGGCATTTCCAGGCATAGAAATTAATAAAATGTTAAGTATTTTGAAAATTCCAAAATGAAGTATTATCACGACTTTCAAGAATCACTGAGCTAATTTCCTGATATTCTACACATTTTACCATGAGGATGGGAGAAAACACTACCCCCCCCCCCACCCCACCACACCACAGTCACATGACTCTCTAGTCATAACACCTGTGACTACCTGCATGGTCCTGTGTCTGACCTATAGCCAGAGATTCCCATGTGCAACCCCACTGAACTTCCTCCTCTGTCCCATCACTCGTTTTACTGCTGCCTGTCCACCTCCCTCCACTGATTGACTTCCTCTTCCACTGAAGGTTGCACCTAATGTCACCTTCCCTGCTGGCTGTCCACACAATTATTTACATTTGACATGTTAGTCATTTAGCAGACACTCTTTTCCAGAGCGACTTACAGTTAGTGAGTGCATAAATTATTTTTATTAAATTTTTCATACTGGCCCCCCGTGGGAATCGAACCCACAAC